CAGAACCAGAAAATTGACACTGGCACAATGTAATAAATTGGAGACCATACTTGGATTTCTCAGCTTTTTACATGCACTTATTTTTTTCTTGTGTATGTGGCTTTTTCTTCTTCCAGTCTGTGACTTGTCTTTTCCTCCTCCTAATAGGATCTTTCATAGACCAAAAGTTTTGTAATTTTGATGAAGCTCAGATTATCAACTTTCTTTTATATATTGTGCTTTTTTATCATGTCCATGAATTCTACTAATCTTAGGCCACAATGATTTTCTTCTATGAGTTTTATAATTTTATGTTTTACATTTAAATCTACGGTCCATTTTGAGTTAATTTTTTGTATAAGGTATAAGGTTTATTTAGGTCAAGGTACATTTTTTTTTTTTTGGCCCATTTTTTGCCTATCCTGTTCTAGCACCACTTGTTGAAAAGACTGTTCACTGTCTATTGAATTGCTTTTGCACTGTTGACAAAAATCAGTTGGCTATACTTTTGTAAGTCCATTTCTGGATTTTCTATTTTGTTTTATTGATCTGTGCCTGCCACTAGCGTGGGTTTGAATTAATTCCTCTTTTCTGACTAAGCCCTGACTGTTGCTTGTTAGTAACCTCATATAATGATGAAAATTTGAAATTTAGATTTTAGAAGCTAACCTAAATTGTTTATATTATGATGTTAAACTATATCAGACATAGATTTTCTTGTTTGCTAGTTATGTGCCTCAGTAAAGAATAATTCACATTTTTGTCACCATTATTTTAGTTATGATGGTATTCAGTTTTTTATGTATCTTAGAATCTAGAGCCAGGCACAGTTGCAGGCACCTGTAGTCCTAGCTACTCAGGAGGCTGAGGGTGGAGGATTGCTTGAGGCCAGGAGTTTTGAGGTTGTACTGATATACAGTCATGCCTGTAAGTAGCCACTTGCATTCCAGCCTGGGCATCATAGTGAGACCTCCATCTCTCTCTCTCTCTCTCTCTCTCTCTCTTTTTTTGAGACAGAGTCTTGCTCTGGGCTAGAGTGCCGTGGCATTAGCCTAGCTCACAGCAACCTCAAACTCCTGGGCTCAAGCAATCCTTATGCCTCAGCCTCCCTAGTAGCTGGGACTACAGGCATACACCACCATGCCTGGCTAATTTTTTCCATATATTTTTTGTTGTCCATCTAATTTCTTTCTATTTTCCATCTAATTTCTTTCTCGCTCTTGCTCAGGCTGGTCTCGATCTCCTGAGCTCAAGCGATCTTCCTGCCTCGGCCTCCCAAAGTGCTAGGATTACAGGTGTGAGCCATCGCGCCTGGCCAGACCTCCATCTCTTAAAAAAAATTAAGTCTGGATAAGAAATGGAATAGTGAAGGAGATTAAAAAATTCTTTGTTTTTAATCAAGGTAATATATGTATATGGTTTTAAAAATCAAATGATATTATGGGCTTAAAATAAAAACTGTGCTGCCCCTTTTTCCACTCTAGAGTCCTTTTCCTTAGTGGTGGCCACTTTCAAATCTATTAGCTGTTGTTCCTCACTGTTTACCTCTTTATTTTTAACTAAAAAGCTTTTACTGTTATTTTTGATATAATGATTTTTAGATATTTTCTACTGACTCCCTATTTTTTTAAATTTATTATTTTAAATTATTTAATTTTAATTTTATCTTACTTTTTTTTACCAATGAGCATTTAGAACCAAACTCCCTACCTGTTATAGAAGATGAATATTTAGTACTCTTAGGCCACCATTCTCACTTCTCTTTCTAGAATATTCTCAGTATAGTTACCTCACAATTTTTGGCTAAATCTTTATTTAGTATTTATATCATAATGATTATCTAAATATTGATGACTAATTGAATTGAGTCATATATTATGATTGTATGACCTTTAATAATTTTTGTTTAGTATATAGTCTTTAAAAAATCATTTACTTTGTTTTCTATGTAACTATTATTCATTACTTCCAAATTCTATAGTATTGTAACACTCCACAGAATAAGGTCAAACGCATCAAGTGACCTCTCAGTTCTATTTTTTATCCTTCTGGAGATCCCGGAGCTGTTTTGACTCTTGTCCCAGCCTGCTGCATGGCTCTTAACCTGTGACTTCTCTTCTCCACTGCCCTGTATTGAATCCTGTTTCCTGAATTCCATGTCTTCCTATTTCTTGGCTTATTCCCTCCTGCAGAATCCCTCCTCTTCCCCTAGCTTCCAGAAAATGGGTGTTTGGGAGGTTTTTTGAATCTTGGCAAGTCAGAAAACGTCTTTATAATACCTTCATACTTAATTGGTAGTTTGGCTAGCTATAGAATTCTAATTAAATTAGTTGCTCTTAAGATTTTAAATGCATTGCTTCCCTGTCAACTAGCTTCCAGTATTGCTCTTGAGAGGTTAAGAAACTCTTCTTTTCTCCTTTTTAAAAAATACTCTCAGCAGAATTCTTTTCCTTTTAAAAATTAATATATAAAACAGGAATGAAGAGTAATATAACAAAAGCTCATGCATGTACTGTTCATTTCAACAAATCCAAACATTTGCTATTTGTACTTCATCTCACTTGCCTTCTATTCTTTCTCTTTTCTGTTTAAGAAGGTACTTATTTATCCTGCTGAAACCCCTCTCTGCCCTTTCTGATATTGTTAGAATTTGCTATTTATTTATTTATTTTTAAGACAGAGTCTCGCTTTGTTGTCCAGGCTAGAGTGAGTGCCGTGGCATCAGCCTAGCACAGCAACCTCAAACTCCTGGGCTCAAGTGATCCTGCTGCCTCAGCCTCCTGAGTAGCTGGAACTACAGGCATGTGCCACCATGCCCGGCTGATTTTTTTCTATATATATTAGTTGGCCAATTAATTTCTTTCTATTTATGGTAGAGATGGGGGTCTCGGTCTTGCTCAAGCTGATTTCGAACTCCTGACCTCGAGCAATCTGCCCGCCTCAGCCTCCCAGAGAGCTAGGATTATAGGCGTGAGCCACCGCGCCCGGCCTGCTATTTATTTTGTTTTATTTTTATTTGTTTATTTGTTCAGGTTGGCTGGTATTTGGGGGAGTCTTTTTAATTTTTTTTTTGAGACAGGATCTTGCTTTGATGTCCAGGTTGGAGTGCAGTAGTGTGATCATAGCTCACTGCAACCTCAAACTCCTGGGCTTAAGTGATCTTCCTGCCTCAGCCTCCTGAGTAACTGGGATTACAGGTGCTTGCCACCATGCCTGCCTAATTTTTATATTTTTTTTGTAGAAATGGGGTCTTGTTATGTTGCTCAGGCTGGTCTTGAAATCCTGGCTTCAAGTAGTTCTCCTGCCTTCAAGCAGTCCTCCTGCCTCAGCCTCCCCAAATGCTGAGATTACAGGCATGAGCCACTGCGCCTGCCCTTGTTTTAATACTTGTACTAGATATGATAAATCCATAATATCATTTGCATGTTATAAAACCTTATATATGAAACCATACCATGGATATTATTCTGTATTTTTTAAAAAATTATATTTTTGAGATGTATTTATTTTGGTGTAATTATGGCTCTTGTTTATTCATTTTTTTCACTAATGTATCCTATTGTAAGACTATATTAAAAAAATTAATTTTAAATAGCTTAAAATATAAAGTAGCTTTGGAATAGAGTATGATAAGTAAGGGATTTGGAATGGAGTATGGTAAGTAAGGGATTTATGTATTTCAGAATATTTCTTTATAGCAATTTTTAATTGGTCTTAATAATTTCTGTTTTGAGAATTTAAACCTTAGGATTAGTTGACTTGATATAGAAGTATAATTGAAATCAGCTATTATTGGGGTCCCTGTCCCTGTGACTAGGGAGGATGAAAGTAGTGGGTGGCCTTGAGTTCAAGGGCAGGTGATCAGGAGCCAGGTGTATTTCTCACTCATATTCGGAAGACCTGGCTGACCATATGCATTGGGGAAGCTTCATTCCCTCAGATAAGCGGTTCAGTCCAGTTTCAAAGAGAACATGGAAGGCATACTTTTAAATTCTGACCTTGGCTTTAACCTTAATGCCTTTGTGGGATGAGGAGGGACATAAGTAAGAAAGTTAGTCACTTAACTGATATAAATTCTCATCTGACCTAAGCTTTCTTTGGATACTCAGCCCACATAGTTTCCTTTCCCTGTGATGGTAATATTAAAATAGTATAATTTATTATTCGTCTCCTCACCATTTTATTATTCAGTGAGAGACTTTTTCTGAACAAATATAAAACATGATCTAGAATTATGTTAAATATGATGATGTAAGAAAGACAGTGATTCATATTTGTAACTAAATTTAATTTTCCCCTTTAATGACCAAGAACGACAAATACTGAGGAGCTGTGGGGATACTAGTTCTTCATTTACTGACTTGTTCTTTCCCCATACTGTTTAAGGAATGCCTATCACATTCTAGTCTAGACATTGGGGATGGAAAGATGAATAAGATAATTCTGTTGTCAAAGATATTCATGGTTTAGGAGAAGATGCATGCCAACAAATACTATATGTGCCCTACAACAGAATGTGAGAAACATTAAATGTGACTTCTTTGGAATTGTAAGCTCTTTCACTTGAAGCAGGTGATGAAGATCTGCCCCTATTACCTCCATAAGTGTAGGTAGTGCATGGTAATTACTTGAGCCACTTTCTCCCCTTCTTTGCACATTCAAGCCATCTAGTCTCTTTATACTTTATCATCACTGTTTTAGTTGTAAAGAGCTTTATTTTCAGACTATTTTTAAAATAAGTTATTATTATGAATTTTCTTTGAGATACTTTGTTGGACAAAGGTATGCCTTTCCTAAGATCTATGATACCAGTACTGAATCTATTAGGATTTTTGTGTTTTATGTTCGCTAAGCCATATTTTAGCCCCATTTCCCCCCATGTAACTTTGTATCTGATGTCTAATACATTTAAAAATAAAGAGAATTGTGATTTCTTTTAGTTAAGTTCATAGTTTTTTACATGTAGAAAAAGTATGATGACTGTTTTGAACAAGTTTGAAGATATTTTTCATTTTTGATAGGTTGTCTTGTGGAAATGCAGGTTTAAGGACAAGTTATCTACCATATTAGAAGATGGGATCAAACAGCAGCAGAATTGGTGATCTTCCTAAAAATGAGTACTTAAAGAAGTTATCGGGAACAGAATCTGTCTCTGAGAATGACCCGTTCTGGAATCAGCTTCTCTCGTTTTCTTTCCCTGCACCAACTAGCAGGTAAGAGATTACCTGGAGATTGAAAATTTGTGTAGAGGGCCATGTGAACATTTGTGGTATGCTGAGTTTTAAAAAATACTTTTTTAATATTCTATGTGACTGTCTATCTATCTGTCATATATGTAGAAAACCCAAAAGATAAGAAAAGGAGAATAAGCTTTTCTATTCTCTTTCTCCCATTTAGCCACTTCTCTCTCCAGAGGATTCTTTTGAATCCTTCTGGATATAGTACAAAGTTACTTAAGCATATATTCCATGTAGTTTTATAAAATGTAGCATACTACACATACTATTCTGTCCCTTGTTTTTTTCCATAGTTAAGTAAAATATATCTTCTATATGTAGCACATATGCAACTGCCTTATTCTTTTTTAATGGCTACAGAGTATCCATAGAATATATGTAATCAGTTTTCTATTGATAGATATTTAGATTATTTCCAGTCTTTTGTTATGACAGATAATGCTGCATATGTCATTTCTCATGTGTACAAATGTAACTAGTATAAATTCCTTGAAGTAGAACTGCTGGGTCAAAGTGCATGTATGTTTGTAATTTTGGTAGATATGCCATGGAAATTGTACCAGTTTACACTCTTACCAGCAATGTTTGAGACAGTCTGTTTCTCCACACCTTTATCAGTTTGATGCAGTTTTAGACTTTTGACCTTTGCCAACTTGATAGGTGAAAAATGATATCTCATTTTAAACTATTATAAAAACTGACAGAATAGAATAACTAGAATATTGAATTTCCATGTACCTAAAAACTAGATTTAAATTTTTTTTTTTAATTTCTTAATAATTTTATTGTGATAGACAGTATAGCAGTTCCCCAAAAGATGTCTATGTCCTGGTCCACAGAATCTGTGAATATGTTACATGGCAAAGGGGAATTAAGGTAGCAATGGAATTAAGGTGGCTAGTCAGCTGACCTTAAAATAGGGAGATTATCTGATTATCTAGGTGGGCCCAATGTAACTGCTAGGGTTCTTGGAAGTGGAAGAGGGAGGTAGAAGAGCAAATAGGAGTGCCGTGAGTGATATGATTGATGTGAGGTGAGGTGAGGTGAGGTGAGGTGAGGTGAGGAAGACTCAACCTGCTGTTGCTGGCTTTGAAGATGGAAGAAGGGAATCAAGAGTTAAGACATGTGAGCAGCTCGTAGAAGCTGAAAGAGGTGAGGAAAGAGATCTCCGCCTAGAGCCTCCAGAAAGGAATGTAGCCCTGCTGACATCATTTTGTTTGTTTGTTTCAAAATATTAAGGGGGTACAAATATTTTTGTTACATGGATACCTTGTATAAGATGAAGCTTTAAGATATGCTTAAAATGAAGCTTTTAGTGTGCCTTTCACCAGAATAGTGTTCACTGTACCCAATAGGTAAGTTTTTACCCCTCACCTGTCTACCCGCCCTCCTCACTTCTTAGTTTCCAATAACCTTTACATCTCTTTGTGCCTGTTTGTAGCTATGGTTTGGCTCCCAGTTATTAGTGAGTACACGTGGTATTTGTTTTTCCATTTCTGAGATGCTGTCATTAGGATAATGGTCTCCAGTTCCATCCAAGTTGCTGTAAAAGATATTTTATTCCTTTTCACAACTGAGTAGTACTCCATGATATATATATACCACAGTTTTTTTTTTTTTTTTTTTTTTTTTTGAGACAGAGTCTTGCTTTGTTGCCCAGGCTAGAGTGAGTGCCGTGGCGTCCTAGCTCACAGCAACCTCAAACTCCTGGGCTCGAGTGATCCTTCTGCCTCAGCCTCCCGGGTAGCTGGGACTACAGGCATGCGCCACCATGCCCGGCTAATTTTTTATATATATATCAGTTGGCCAATTAATTTCTTTCTATTTATAGTAGAGACGGGGTCTCGCTCTTGCTCAGGCTGGTTTTGAACTCCTGACCTTGAGCAATCCGCCCGCCTCGGCCTCCCAAGAGCTAGGATTACAGGCGTGAGCCACAGCGCCCGGCCCAACAGTTTCTTAATATACTCATGAATTGATGGGCACTTATGTTGATTCCACATCTTTGCAGTTGTAAACTGTGCAGGCGCACATTTGAGTGTGCCTGTCTTTTTGACAAAATGACTTCTTTTCTGTTGGGTAGTGACACAGTAGTGGGATTGCTGGATCAAATGGTAAGTCTACCTTTATTCTCTGAGGAATCTCTGTACTGTTTTCCATAGAGGTTGTACTAATTTGCAGTCCCACCAACAGTGTATAAGTGTTCCTTTCTTTCTGCATCCATGCCAGCATCTATTATTTTGACTTTTTAATAATTGCCATTCTGACAGAGATAAGGTGATATCTCATTGTGGTTTTAATTTACATTTCCTTGATGATTAGTGACATTGAGCATTTTTTCATATGTTTATTGGCCATTTGTCTTTCTTCTTTTGAGAAGCTTCTGTTCATGTCTTTTGCCCACTTTTTAATAGAGTTGTTTGTTTTTTTCTTGCTGATTTGCTTGAGTTCTTATAAATTCTGGTTATTAGCCAGAATCTGGTTATCAGATGAGTAGCTTGCAAATATTTTCTCCTGTTCTGTAGGTTGTCTGTTTGCTCTGTTGTTTCCTTAGCAGTGCAGAAGCTTTTTAGTTTAATCAAATCCCATTTATTAATTTTTGTGTTGTTTTACACCACTAAATTTGTGGTAACTTTTATAGCAGCAATAGAAAACTAATACATGTTATTGATATATATATTACATTAGGATATTGAAAAAGTGTGGTTTTATACCAGTTATTATGCTAAGATCGATCAGAGGTTTGAGTGTGTTTTAGCATTCATTGATTTTTGTCTGAATCACTTATTTCATAAGAGATTACAAAATGGTGATATTTCTAATTTTGTTATTACTTCCACACTTATTAACTGGAATTCGTCTGTAAAGAAGAACTTTTCTTCATCAGTTAGGTCATGTAAAATATATTTCCCACTATATTATATTACTAAATAAGGGTAAACACTTCATTCTTTTCCAGTTTTCAGGAAGAGATTAGTGTAATGGTGACAAGTAAGACCATACTTCTGTCCCCTGACCCCAGAGGTAGAGGGGTGATTTCTCTGTCTTTTGATGGTGAATTAAAACACACACAGGCACATACATATTTTCAGTATGACCAATTGCAGTCATTTTCCTTTTGATACCCAGTTGAATGAGCTTTGGATAGTGGCCCTTATGATTTTATTTGCCTTGTTTTTTTTTTTTTTGAGACAGAGTCTTGCTCTGTCACCTGAGGTAGAGTGCTGTGGTGTCAGCCTAGCTCACAGCAACCTCGAACTCCTGGGCTCTAGTGACCCTCCTGCTTCAGCCTCCCAAGTAGCTGGGACTACAGGTGCTTACCACCACACCCGGCTAATTTTTTGTTTCTACTTTTAGTTGGCCAGCTGATTTTTTCTATTTTTAGTAGAGATGGGGGTCTCACTCTTAGGCTGATCTTGAACTCCTGCCTTCAGGCGATTCTCTTGCCTCGGGCCTCCTAGAGTGCTAGGATTACAATTATGAGCCATCTCACCTGGCCAGTATATGGTTTTTATACTGAAAGATATTGAATAAGCCTTAACTAGACGTATATACTGTGTGTAAAGAGTAGACAACTATCATAAAAATGTCAGTTCTTCCCAAATTGACTTACAGATTCAAGGCAATTCCAGTTAAAGTCCTAATAGCTTTGTTTTGGGAGATTGGGGATTTTGATAAGCTGATTCTAAAATTTGTATGGAAGATAGAAAAACTAAGAATAGCTAAAGTGCTTAAGAAGAATATGAGTGTGTGAGTGCACGTGTGCATGATTTATGCAGAGCTGGCCCTTTAGAGCAGTAGGGAAAAGATGAAGTTCTCTAGAAATAGTGATGAGAATAATTTGTTAGCCATTTTTGTCTATTTTTTAACCTCTAGGTTTGTCATAGTTGTGCCAGTGCCTCATGGTTTGAGTTATTATGGCTTTACAGTTAGTTTTGTTAATTACTGCTTTACTCAAAGATCCTTTGCTGTTTTCATGTGCGTATTCTTTCTGATGTCTTTTTCTTTTCTTAATTAATTCACCCTGCTTTATAGAGAAAGGTATAAAGGAATCTTAGAAGGGCATGCCTCCAATCCTGGCTTGGGTGAGGCAAAGTCATAATATGTAACCAAAATGTTTGTACTTCCATAATATCCTGAAATTAAAAAAAAAAAAAAAAAGAAGCTGTAAAGTGAATAAACTGCACATATAGGTCTGTGGTGGGTAATATTTACAGAGGCTTCATTTGTGGTGTTGCATATCCTTTTGGCCTCTCTGTCACTTTCTCTTGAGACTGTTCTGCTCTTCAGCGATGGTATTTGATGTGTGACCTTGAGATTGAGAAGGCTTTGAGGTAGTAGGTGCTCCCTCCTTGACAGAGATTAGGGACTGGCATTCCCTAGTTTATGAATTATTCAGGAGTAAGATTATCTCTCTAGGGAAGACTCTGAATCCAGATATTTCTGAGATTGTTCACTCCTGGATTTCCTTGGATCCTTAATGTGCTACCTTTGAGTATAGCCTATTTTTGTAACCGAAAATTGATGTCTGCTGATTTTTAGAAACACTATAAGACCTTTAGGACTAATCTAATCCTTCCTTACTATTAACTGTTTTTAGCACCAGAATAATCAGATTTTGTTAACATTTACAGGCATGGTTGCAAATCTTAGATGCTTCAATAGTTTTTAATTTTTCACTGTATTAAAATTACTTGTCAAGGAATTTGTCAAGCAAATAAAATGAAGGGATAATTTAAGAGTACAGTTTAAGTGATATACTGTTTATTTTTCTAAAGTATATTTAAACTACTTACATGACTGATTTTATACATGTTTCTAAATTACTATATATTATAATCTCAGGTTTACAAAAAGATAAACCTGTGCTTATTATCTTTTTGGTTCAGAGGCATCTGAGTGTCCCCACTGAGGGTGTGGTGAGTGTGAACATGTTCATGATATATGCCATGCTTATCATTGAGACCTGCTGGACCAGA